CAAGGGAGCAACGGAAACCGCTGATGATCATCTTCCATCGATCTTGGTGCCCTCACTGTCAAGGTGGGTGAAGGGATTCAGCTTGTGTCGATCTTCAGTTTCTTTCCAGGCAGATTTTTTTTTTTCACGAATGCACGTTAAATTTAACGACACGGCACGTGTCTCGAGGTTTGCAGCATGCTTTTAGTTTGCCGAAAGTAAGCATTTGCTTGCTGCGGTGTGGTGTCTAATGCAACAGCAGCTGCGGATTTAAAGATCCATGAAGCTCTTCCTAATTAAATGTCTTCTTTGTGGTTGTATCCTATTTTTCCTCCCACCGCAGTCCTGCGGGAGAGATTTGCAGCATCTTCGTCCATCTTTGAGGCATCACTGGATTTCGTAATGGTGAACCTGCACGACGAAGATGATGCCACGATGCCCGATGACAAACGTTTCGCGCCCGATGGGATTTATGTCCCCAGGGTCCTCTTCCTTGGTATGCTTTTTAAAAAAAAAATGTTGGTCTTCAAAATTAAATTTCCTTCAAAGGGACAATCATAGCAGGACGATTTCGTCTTTCAGACTCTGAAGGGAATCTGATGGACGTGAAGAATGAGGCGAAATATGATCAAAAATATAACTATCCCATGGAATCGGAACTGCTGAAGGCAATGTACGAGGCACGGAGACGGGCTTATGCAGCCGACGACGAAGTCTGCAATCCTTTGGCTGATCTCTGATTTTCATGGAGCATCATAAACACATCTAATTGAAATATTTGAGCATTTCATTCAATAGCTTCTTGTCATAAAAGTATGCTATCTTGACACTTATGCTAAATATTGAAACTTTTGAATCAAAAGCAGAGACATGGGTGGCACTTTAAAAATCAGACAAAAATGGTAAAACTTAGAAGGTACATGATTCAGAGCCTAACCAGGGCTTATACTATCACTCAAACTAAGTGAAACAGTTACATGCTGAATGCTACACTTATCATAAATAAAATTGAGTGCCCACAAATACTTTTTGAGTAGATTCCTTTCTCTTCCATCTTGGCTTGGAAAATTGTGCTAAACTGATAATATATGATGTGGTGGCTTCATAGTCTTTGAATCAGTATTATAGTATGGCACAATTGAGGAAAGAGGGCAGTCCACTGCTTCTCGAGGGACCATATTTTTTAAACTGGAACTTAATATTGAAAAAATATGAGAGGTACAGGTGTTCCAATGGAAATATATTTCATATATTTGGGACCAAATTCATTTCTTCACCCAGTGTGGATTTTTGGAAAATCCTGAGTCCACTAC